GCTTCTGATCCAGATGACATACCAAGCGAATACTGGAAAGAATGCGGATGGCTCGGTGCCTCATGGCTTGCAGACCTCTTCAATCAGGTCATCAAAGCTAGGAGCATGCCCCATGACTGGTCAAAGTGCACAATGATTCCGATATGGAAAAATAAAGGCGATATTGCAGATTGTTCAACGTATTGGCCAATATGGTTGATGAGCCACGCTTTGAAAATCTTCGAAAGAGTACTTGAAAGACGACTTCGAGCAATCATAGAGTCGTCATCCAATCAGTGCGGATTTGTAAAGGGTGCCGATACCGCTGATGCCATCCATACTGTACGGATAGTGATGGAGAAGTACAGAGAAGAACGAAGAGAGCTGCACGCAGCGTTATTAGATATGGAGAAAGTTTTCGGCAAGTACCTCATGATGTCATATGGTTATTACATTACACAGTTATGGATGCAGTGTGACGGAAGGTCTCAAGCGACAGCCTCCATGGGCTCTCTGTATGCAGACGATGTGGTGTTGATGGCAGAAAACAAAGAACTTGAAGAAGAAACACAGAGATGGAAGAACCAATTAGGGTCGTACGGCTTGAAGCTCAACACAAAGAAGACAGAATATATGGAAGTTGGAGGTCAAACTTCAGAAACCATATACGTTGATGAGAAGCCAATCAAGAGCGAGTACATTAAAAGAAGACAGAATATATGGAAGTACCTAGGAAGTTGCATCTCTGGCGAAGGAGGTCTTCAAGATGAAATATCTGCCAGGAACGCATGCTGGATGATATGGAGAACCCTCACAGGAGTTCTATGCGACAGGCGAATGCCAGTGTAACTCAAATCCCAAATATACCGTACTGTGATCCGTCCCACAGCGCTATATGGCCGCGAATGTTGGCCCAGTACGCGAAATGAAGAACACAAACCTAGTGTCATGGAGACAAGAATGCTGCGGTGGACATTGGGTATCACTCTTCTAGATCATGTCTGTAATGACATAGTTCGTGCAAGGATGAAAGTTGCTCCCATCGTTAAGAAAATGCAGGAAAAGCGACTGCGATGGTACGGG